GTCCAGGGGCTGTTCAGCCCCAGTGAGAGCCCCAAGGGGGGAGGCATTGGGCCCCTCCACCCGCACCTCCTTCACCATCTCTGCACGGCGCCGACAGTTCCTACGTACTTCACACCTGATTCTGACGCCACCAACTCCAGAAGAGACCCTCTGCCCCATGCTGGTGGCTCCCTGAGGTTTCTGGGCATCTTCCAACTGCCCCAGGGGGAGCCCTGTTAGTCTATCGGGTGCCCTACCAGGCTCGGAGCCTACATCCTTCTCTGCTGTGTCCTTCATTCAGGGCAGGACCTTGGCACATGCGCACGGGGCAGACACGGGAGGAGCTGCGATACTTTCCGACAGCAGACGGCTGTCCTACCGCAGGGTTATTTTTGCCCAGCTAAGTCGGGTGGACCAAGAGGATAGGAGAGGGTGGGCTATTAAGAAAACATTAGTTTAGGTCAACTCAAAGAGAACGTTTTTTTCTTTTTTATGACGAAGTCTCACTCTGTCACCCAGGCTGGAGTACAGTGGCGCGATGACATTTTAAAAGCATGCTGCAAGCTTTTTCCCCTGCCTTCTCCCTCTCTCTCTCTCTCTCTACCTATTATGTCTTTCTTTTAATTATAAAGGGCCAGTATGCAAGAGACAACCCCTCCTCATACAGGCCACCATCTGTTGGCAGGAACACGATGTGCTCTGGCCGGGGTGGCCTCAGTTAACCGGTCTCCCGACTGCCAGTCAGTTGGAAAATCTCTTCAGCTTTCTCACTGGCCCTGCAGTGTCTGTCAAAGGCAAATACTGAGCCGGGGCACAGCAGTGTTTAAGCTGGAATCTGTGGTATGGGCAAGAATGCAAAGTTCCTCCAATCCACAATCCTCAAGTTCTCTGTGTGTGTCTCACCCCCAGCCAGTCAGCCAGCCAGCCAATGTCCTCTGGGTATCACCAGCCTCCGTTAACAAAACACGGACCCTGCCTTCCGGGGACTTACAGTTCACGTTGGGGGCCAGCCACGTACAAACCGGCACAGACTTCACACACCTGCCACCATGAGGAGTCTCCCTGTGCCCTGACCTGGCCGGGCAGGGGCACAGCTCATCAGGAATAAGAACGGAAGCAGACGCTGGGAAACTGGAGGCCGTGGCGCAGAGGTGGCTTCGGCCGAGCCTGGTTTTCTGCTCCCTCCAGGGTCTCCTGCAATTCCACATGGCAGCTTGAGGTAGAGCGGGGGAGAGAATTCAAGATTGGCTCCTCTGCCCACGCCAACACCTCCCACTTCGTCAGGAGGGGTAGCCTGTCCAGACAGGGATCCACTGCACATTCAGCCCTGACTAGGAGGCCTTGTTTCCCCGGGGTGGGCCTGAAAGGGGCCTGAATCCTAGAGGATGAGGGATGGAGAGGGGGCCCCAGCCACTTCCTCCCAGGATCCTCGCCTGACACCCCCAGCCCTGTGCTGTTGCCCATGTGGGCTCTCCCCCATGGCTCTCATCACATTGCAAATGTACAATTCTGTGTGATGATTCCACGCCTGGGCTCGTGCCTGGCCCAGTCCCCAGCACACGGTGGAACCTGATACGTTGAGTGAATTAGTGGATGTGCTATGCTCTCTCTGGGATAGAGGGGGAGAAACGGGCCTGGCCCACCACGGGGTCCTGGTGGAAGAGTGCAGAACGGTACAAAAGCAGTAACCGGATGACTGAATCTGGGGGGCAAGGGGGCATCCGGGAAGGGGCCCCTGAGGACAGGAGATTTAAGCCAAGTTGAGATTTGAGGAATGGATTAGCCAGGCAAAACGTGAGCTGGAGGGCTGGGGAAAGAAGGTTTTCAGGCAGAGGGAAGTGGGGAAGAGGCTTTGCAGCGGTCAGGGGCTCAGGGAGGCAATGTGGACAGCAGAGGGGCAGGGGAGCAGGTGCTGGGACTCTGTGCGTCTGTGCGTCTGGACTCCCTGGAGCAGGGAGCGGCAACAGTGGGTAAGCTCAGGAGCCCTTCTGCACACTCATTCAACAAACAGCTGCTGGGCACCCACAGTGTGCCAGGCACCGTGCCAGGACTTACAGGCCACTCTAAGACTATGGCTCTGGATCCCAGAAGCAGGGAACACCCCAACAGCTGTGGGCCACCCACCCAGAGGAAAAGGTGAGACCAGCCGTGGGGCTTCAAAGTCTAGAATTAACAGCAACCGGCATCTGATAGGATGTGGGCAGGGCGAGAGAGACGTTCACGAATGGCCTGGGTGTCAGGCCTCAGCAGCTGGGAGGCCAGAAACCATCCTCATCCCAGACCCGGGGAGGGGACAGACCACAGTGGTGAAGTGAAGGAGAGTGCCCTTTGGGATGTTCAAGTCCACATGGCTCGGAGCCCAGAGCCCCCTTCGGGCGGGTGAGGCCAGGCAGTGAGGCGTTTACATCAACTGGCACCAACCACAAACAAGACAGGCAAACCAGCCAAGCCCCAGTGGATGAGAACTCTGAGCTCCCAAGGACTGGGAAATAAAACCACTGAACCAAGCTTATTATGAAACCAATCTCTGCGAAAATGGGACAGGCTAGGTGTTTAACAAAGTATCGCTGGCTCTCATTTTTTTCTGAACAGCTGGCAGCGATTATATTAAGTTTCCGTTTCGAATGGATTTCCTGCCAGTTACACATTTGTCTCCTCCCCTGCTGTACAACATGGGAAAAAACACGGGAGAATCGCGGGGCTGGGCTGGGAAGAGAGAGGGTACAACAGCCAGGTAGGAGCGTGTGTGAGTGTGCACACACCAGGGCTGCAAGCATCTTCACTCACTGCCGAAAGCAAAACCCCACGTGCAGTCTAATTTCAGGGCTCCACCTAATTACCAAACATCACGCTTCTAAAGAGAGTGGAGGCTGCATAGAGCTCAAGCTGGCAGGATCCTTAAATACTCTCTCTTCTCAGGCACTAAAAGGAGGCATCAGCTGCATGTCTGGGCTTTGAGGGAGTCATACCGTAAGAGCAGGCACACTGATGCTTTTGGAAGAGATTATTAATCACACCCTGCCTTGTAACAGTGCACAGAAGGACCCCAAGCAGGCCAGGATTCACAATGCAACGCAGTTCACTTTTCAACCTTTGTAGTTTAAGTGGAAAACCTAATGCTTCTAACAAAACTGCCTGATTTAAATGTTCTCACTTGCAAAAAACTAATAATGATTTTAAAAGGAAATACGACTCTCATTTATTTGCAAAGCACAGTACCAGCTGCTGGATGCGCCCTGTGCCCGAGCACCTGGGAGCCCGCCCTGGACTGGGCAGCCACGTGCAGGCGGAGAGGGGAGGGGCCAGGTGTCCTCGGCCACTGACGTGGTTTCTACCTCGCGCCCTTTTCTGAAGACACACATCCTAGAGCCCAGAGAACTCAAGGGCTGGAGGGTTTCAGGCAAGGCTGGATTTCATTTCTATGTTAAAATCCTTAAGAACAGAAAAGTGGGCCGGGAGCGGTGGCTCACGCCTGTAATCCCAGCACTTTGGGAGGCCAAGGTGGGCGGAATATTTGAGGTCAGGAGTTCAAGACCAGCCTGACCAACGTGGTGAAACCCCATCTCTACTAAAAATACAAAAATTAGCCAGGCGTGGTGGCGCGTGCCTGAAATCCCAGCCACTCATGAGGCTGAGGCAGGAGAATCGCTTGAACCCAGGAGGCGGAGGTTGCAGTGAGCTGAGATCACGCCACTGCACTCCAGCCTGGGAGACAAAGCGAGACTCCGTCTCAAATAAAAAATAAAAATAAAAAACAGAACAGTGGTCCTCAGCTTTATAAACACCTCCCTTAGCTGATGTGAAGGCCAGGATGTCAAGCAGCGGCCGAGGAGGACGCATCACAGCAGCTCAGGCCTGCTAAGGCAGTGTCTGCTGGAGGCGTGGCCGCTGTGTCCACCCAGACCTGATAGGGCGTGGTCACTGGAGGAGGCGTGGCCGCTGCGGGTCCACCCAGACCTGATAGGGCGTGGCCATTGGAGGAGGCGTGGCCGCTGCGGGTCCACCCAAGCGCGCTAGGGGCGTGGCCACCAGAGGAGGCGTAGCCGCTGCGAATCCACTTTTGCCCCGGAGAGTAATCGGACAGCGGAGGGGTCAGTTCCCGCCTTGCACGTGACAGGGGGTGAGAACCTGACCCCCAGCCTGACGCCGGACCCTGGCCTCCTGGGCCCACGGACGGCCTCCACTGAGGCCCGATCCCGCCCGCGACGTGGGGGACAGCAGAGGCCACCCCAACCCAAAGCGGCACCTCGCAGGGCAGCCCAGCCTGCGACAAGCGCGCAAACTTCCTCAGCGGGACCGTAGCAAGGGCAGGCCTAGGGGTCCCTCGCGCTGCTCAACGCCGCTAACCGGCGCTCAGAAACCAGCGCTCTGCGGCACTGGAGAAAGCACTTCCCGCCCTCCTACAGGCTCTTGGCCAGGGACTGCCAGGGGAGGCGCCCCTCACGGACGCCCCGCCCGCCCCTCTCAAACATGGCGGCCACAGGCGCACCAGGGAAGAGCCCCTCACAAACATGGCCGTCCGCCGCTCTCAAACATGGCGGCCACAGAGGCTTCAAGGGAAGCAACCCTCACGAACATAGTTGCCTGCTCCTCTCAAACATAGCGGCCATAGGCCCACCAAGAGAAGCGCCCCTTACAAACATGGCCGTCCGCCCCTCTCAAACATGATGGCCAAAGAAGCTTCAACGCAAGTGCCCCTAAAGAACATTGTGGCCCACCCCTCTCAAAACATGGCGGCCACAGGTGCACCAAGGGAAGCGCCGTTCACGAACATGGTCGTCCGCCCCTTTCAAATATGGCAAACACAGAAGCTACAAAAAAAGCACCCCCCGCAAACATAACCTCCCAGGCCTGCCATGGGCGTGGGAAACATAGCGGCTACAGGGTTGCCAAGGGACGCGCCCTCACGAACATGGCCTGCCACAGGACGACTTACTGCTCCAGTGTCCCAGCACTGGCCCGTAGCCCGCGAGCTGCGCCCGTCACTTACGTAAAAGCCAACACTGTGGGGTCACATGACGAGGGCGCTGCGCTGTGATTGGCTCTGCTGACGTCGGACGCCGCCGCGGCGCGCTCTGCAGACTCCGGGTCGCCGCTCCGCCGGGACGCGTTGGTCCGGGGCGCGCGGTTCTTGGCTGCGGCGCTCACACTCATGAGGAGCCGGAAGGTGAGGGCTGGTGCTCGGCAACAGCTGCGCTGGACAGGGCGGGGACTCCGGGCCACCTGCTGTCTGGAGAGCCGGGGCGGGGTCACGGGGTGCCTGTGACCTAGAAACGGCCTCCGCTTGGGCCTCGCCCCCGGGAGAAGCGGGGGGCTCCAGGCCACGCTCCCGGGAGAAGGGGCGCTCCCAGACCACGCCCCTGGGAGAAGGGAGGGGCTCCAGGGCAGGGTCCCGGGAGAAGGAGGGCTCCCAGGTCACGCCCCTGGGAAAGGGGGAATCCGGGCCACGCCCCCGCGAGAAGGGGCGCTCCCAGGCCACACCCCCAGGAGAAGGGGAGCTCCCAGGCCACGCACCGGGGAGAATGGGGACCCCGGGCCACGCCTTAGGGAGAAATGGAGCTCAGAGGTCACGTCCCCGGGAAAAGGGGCCTCCCAGGTTATCGCCCCCCGCAGAAGGGGGGCTCCGGGCCATGCCCCCAGGAGAAGGGGAGCTCCCAGGCCACGCTGCCGGGAGAAGGGGGCTCCGGTCCACGCCCTCGGGAGAAGTGGAGCTCACAGGTCACGTCCCGGGGAGAAGGGGGCCTCCCAGGCCACGCCCCCTTGAAGGGAGATTTCAGGCCACTTTCCCAGGAAGGTGGGGTGCCCTCTCCAGAACTGGTTTCAACTCCTGGTAGTGCTGGATGCTGCGGAGCTGAGTTTGTGCCCCTCAACTGCTGCCACTCCAGTGGAGGTCACACAGCGTGTGACCTCAGGTTGGCCCCATGTACTTAATGTGCTAAAAGTGGGGTGATGTGGGATCCACCCAGAGGGTGGTGAGGATTGAAGGGGGGTGCCAGTGTCTGGCAAGGGGCAAGTGCTTACCGCGTGGGTGTAACAGTTAAAGGTGAAAGACCCTTTTCACAGTGCACTTGGCGCGGGTCCAGGTCCACCTGGGAGGTTCTGAGCTGCTTGGAGGCTTTCTCCTGGTTTGTTCAAATGGAGTGACCACTTGTGAATTCCAACTCCTTTTACTATTTTTAATCTTTGAACCAAAACTAGGCAGCATACATTTGGATCTTTTTTAAAACCCAGTCTGGTAGTTTCTGCCTTTTGATTGAATTGTTTAGCCCGTGCACATTTAATATTATTGATATACTGTAGTTAGGTTTACATATGCTATTTTACTTTTTCTTTACTTTATACAAGTCTGTCTTTTTCTTCCCCTATTCCTTCTTTAAGTGGATTAAAGTGAATATTTTCTAATGTAGCATTTTAATTTAGTGATTTTTTTACTACATTTCTTGAGTTTTTTCCAGTGCTTGCTCTGTGTTTTACCGTATACATCTTAATCTTCATACTCTCCATATACCTCTTAAGCTTCAGATTTGTACTAGGTTAATTCCAAGTGATAAGGAAAAGTTACCGTTATAGGTTATTTTTGTGGTATTTTGTTATATGTATTACATCTGATAATGTTACAAACTCAACAATACAGTGTGATCATTATTACTTTCTGTCTGTGGTCATTTCCTCAACCAGTAGGGCTTTGCCTTCACCCACTTTCTTTGTTTTGTTATTGGCAAATATAGTACACGTCTGTATATATTACATACATGGTATTGTATACAATTGCTTTTTAAAATTATGAGAAGGAGGTAGAAAAATAGGCATTCAAACTATCTTTATAAGAACATAGGCCGGGCGCGGTGGCTCAAGCCTGTAATCCCAGCACTTTGGGAGGCCGAGGCGGGCGGATCACAAGGTCAGGAGATCGAGACCACAGTGAAACCCCATCTCTACTAAAAATACAAAAAATTAGCCGGGCGCGGTGGCGGGCGCCTGTAGTCCCAGCTACTCAGGAGACTGAGGCAGGAGAATGGCGGGAACCCGGGAGGCAGAGCTTGCAGTGAGCCGAGATCGCGCCACTGCACTCCAGCCTGGGCAACAGCGTGAGACTCCGTCTCAAAAAAAAAAAAAAAAAAAAAAAAGAACATAATTACCTTTACTGGTGCTGTTTGTGTGGGCGTGTGTGGGTTTGAATTACTGTCTGGGGTCACTTGCTTTCAGCCTGACGAACTTCTTTTAGTATTTCTTGTAAAGTGAGTTTTTATTTTGTTTTTTTGTTTTGAGACCAGAGTCTCGCTCTGTTGCCCAGGCTGGAGTGCAGAGATGTGATCTCAGCCAACTGCAGCCTCCACCTCCCAGGTTCAAGTGATTCTCACCTCAGCCTCTGGAACTGCTGGGATTACAGGAGCCCGCCCCTACACCTGGCTAATTTTTGTATTTTTACTGGAGATGGGGTTTCACCATGTTGACCAGGCTGGTCTAAAACTCCTGACCTCAGGTGATCCACCACCTCAGCCTCCCAAAGTGCTGGGATTACAGGCATAAGCCACCATGCCCAGCCCATTTTTGAAGTATAGCTTTGCTGGATATAGGATTCTTGGTTAACAGGTTTGTTTGAGTACTTTGAATATGTTTGAATATTCTCCATTGTTTCAGTCAGTGGTTCATTTATTGAGGTTCCCTTCTAAGTGGCTTTCTTCTTGTGGCTTTCAAGATTTTGTTCTCTTGTGGCTTTCAAGATTTTACCTTTGATCTTTGTATTTTTACAGTGATGTGTCTGTGGATCTCTTTGCATGTATCCTATTTGGAGTTCAGTTCATTAAGATTCCTGGATATGGGGTCAGGTACGGTGGCTCACACCTGTAATCCCAGCACTTTGGGAGGCCGAGGCAGGCAGATCACAAGGTCAGGAGATCAAGACCATCCTGGCTAACGTGGTGAAACCCCGTCTCTACTAAAAATACAAAAAAGTATCCAGGCGTGGTGGTATACACCTGTAGTCCCAGCTACTCAGGAGGCTGAGGCAGGAGAATGGCGTGAACCCAGGAGGCGGAACTTGAAGTGAGCCAAGATTACACCACTGCACTCCAGCCTGGGTGACAGAGCGAGACTCCGTCTCAAAACAAAACAAAACAAAACAAACAAAAAAAAAGATTCCTGGATATGTAGGTTAATGTTTTTCTATAAATTTGAGAAGTTCTCAGCTGTTATTTCTTCAAATACTTTTTCTGCTCCTTTGTCTTTACATTTTTGTGGTTCTTATTATGTGTGTGTTAGTGCACTTAATGGTGTCCAGCATTTCTCTGCGCCTTGCTTTATTTTTCTTCATTCTTTTTTTTCTGTGTTCTTCAGCGTGCATAATCTATCGATCTACCTTCAAGTTTGCTTATCCTGCCAGTTCATATCTACTATTGAGCCCTTCTAGTGAATTTTGTTATTTCAGGTTTTATACTTTTCTACTCCAGAATTTCCATTTGGTTTTTAAGTAATTTCTCTTTATTGATAGTCTCTTTGATGCAACATTATCTTATCTTTCTTCTTTATTCATGATCTTGATCTTGTTTATCATGGCTAACTTGTCCTTTATATAGGTATAAATCTAACATCTGGTCACTCTCACAGACAGCTTCTTTGGCCTGCTTTTATTCCAGTGTGTGAGTCTACTTTTCTGTTTCTTTGAGTGCTTCATAATTTTTTGTTGGAATTATGTCTTCATAATTTTTTTGACATTTTAGATAATATATTTTAGCAATTCTGGGTACTGTCCGCAACCCTGGGGCTTGTCATTGTTGATATGCTTCTTTGTTTAGCAACTGAGTAGATTGTTTTGATATATATTTCCCCTGCCACCCAGGCTGGAGTGCAGTGGTGTAATCTTGGCTCACTTCAAGTTCCGCCTCCCGGGTTCACGCCATTCTCCTGCCTCTGATATTGCTGGTGGGGGGTGGCACCCAGCTTTGGGTATGCCCACAGCCACCCTGGATGACGGTGGTTTTAGCAGGGTCCTTTTCCTCTTTCCCTAACCACATCCGGCTGTTAAACTTCACTAATGCCAGCTTATTGTGCTGTTCTCAGCAACAGCCTAGGCATAAGTTGCTCTGCAAACTAATCCAATCAAATTGTGGCTTCTTTGAAGGGATATTTTCTAAGGTCAGTGTTTGATTAGTTTGTTCTAGGCCCAAGAGGGCTCCTCCCAGCCATGGTAGTCTCTGGTTCTCTTCTGCAAACTAGTTGGCCTACAACTTGGCCTATTGCTTGATTCTCCACTGCCCCTACTCCTTCATCACAGCCTCCACTGTTCTTGAGCAAGCTCCCTTAGGCTTGAACTTCTCCACATTCCATTGCAGTGAATTTGGTGCCTTTGGGGAGACTTAAGAACTGTCTGTTTAGTTGCCTGCCTCTCACCCCAGGCAGAGCCTCTGAGCCAGGGCCATGCAGCTGAGGACAGTAATAGGCTTCTCTCTGAATGGGGGTTGGGGGAGCCAGCAGCAGCCTGAGATCCCCCAAGTTTGCCTCCCCCGGCCTGGAACCACCTTACATCTGGGACAAGGTTGATGGGGCCCCAGTCTTCTTGGGTCACTGGGCGGAGCCTCCGGCAGAGGCTCAAACCCTGCTTGTAGAACGGAGCCAAGGTGAAGCCTCCATTCTATAAATAGGGTCTGAGCAGAAAGGAATTCCCCTCTTCTCAATCCTACTCACTCAGGACCTAGTCTCAGCCACAGGTGGGATGAGAGCAGAAAGGGAAGCACTGCTGTCCTGCCTCTCCTGGGAAGAAACCCCGCCGCCTGGGAGCTGGGGAGGCGGCCCTGTGTTCTTGACTGCAGCAGGATGGCGCTTAAATGCCACAGACTCTCCGTGTCCTTACCGAATGTATGTAGGTGTTCCGGAGCGAGTGTTTCTTCATTTGCTGGGTTCCCATAGGACCATTTCCAAAGGCTCTCTAAGTGGCTGTTGGGGGACTGCTCATCACCTTCTCTGAGTAGGAGGTCAGTGAAGCTCCTCAGGCCATCATGCTGAAGTCAGTCCCGGCCAGCCCTTTTGGGGAAACCGTGTTTGTGCTTCTGACATACCAGTTATTAAACAATCTGCTGGAATCAGGAGAATCTCAGTGATGAGAAAGTCTTTCCTTTTTTGGACTGCGGGAGCAATCCAAGCTGCCCAACTGCAGAGCAGGAATCTGCAAGCGAGACTGTGACCAATTTCTGACATTTTGGAGTTGACACCTTGGAGGTGGTTAATCCATGATGAAACTGAAGCTAAGCTGCTCTCGTATTTTGGCTCCTGTCAATCCAGAGGGGACAGCAAATGGCCTGCTCAGGTGTCTGTAACAGCCCATGCTTCCAGGCCCACCAGATCGTCTGGCTTTTCTCTGCGGAAGGGGCCGAAAGGTCCACCTGATGAACCTGTTGCACGCAGAAAGTTCAGAACCACTGCTGCCAAGATGCTGACAGAAACTTGAGAAGCACCTGCTGTGGGAAAAGACCTGCAGGCCTAGAACACGGAGCGGGTGACAGCTTCTTCATTTCAGTCCTCACCTCAGGCAGCTTTTGGGGGTCGTATCTAGGGTGAGCTGTTGTGATGGAACAGAGATTTGGAGGCCAGGCATCACTTGTGTAACCTCATAAGCTCCTCACCCAAGTCGTCCTCATCTGAAATGGGCGTGCCACCCCTTTAAAGCTGCTCAGGCACCGAGGCGGGCTCCCCACACAGCATACTCCGCGCAGAGCAGCAAAGTGCCCGGAGGAGGACTCACAGCGAGGAGGAGAGGAGGGTCAGTGGCTTTCTAGGACAGAGATGTCCTTTCCCTGCAGTGACGTTTTAGGGAGACGGGCGTGTTTAGGACCCGGTGGGAGGATTTTGATGAGAGATGTTTATGGCAACTCTTAGCAAGTTCTGTAACCTCTGTTGCCTCAGTCCCCTTGGTGTAACTGTAACCATGACATCTGCGGGGCTCTCAGCAAAGCCCTGCCCTTGTAAGAGGACGGAGGCCCAGCCCCTCCATGTGCTGTGGTAGCAGGCATTTCACCCAGCCTGTGGGTACCTGGTGTGTCCTGTGTACAGCTGGCAGGTGTCCTGGCCTCTGGTGGGCTGCTGCCTGCTCTTCTCCCTCCTGTTTCAGACGCACACTCTGACTGCCACAGTATCACGAGGCCTTGGAGCTGCCACCCCATAGGGCTTCTGGAGCTGTCTTGGGCTATGGAGTGCATGGCAGAGACAGATTATTTCTATTTTTTTTTCCTTTATTTCTCTTATCTGCTGTTGGGCAGGGCACTCTTCATCCGTCCCCTTCTGGGTTCCAGTTCTAGGACCTGTTGGCAGCAGCTCCTGGGCCTTTCCTGGCCACGTCAACCTGCATTGCTCCTGTTTATTGCTTCTACTACTCACACTCCTTCCTTTCGAGTTTTCTAAGTGCAGTGTGATATTCTGGACTGGATTCTGGAACAGAAGAACAGTTCATGGAGAAACTGATAAAATACAAATAAAATCTGTAGTTTAGTGAAGAGTACTGTACTGTCGCTTAGTTTTTAATGTTGACAATGTCCTGTAGTTGTTTAACATTAGTGGAAGCTGAGTGAAGGCTACATGGCAACTCTCTGTACTATTTTACTATTATTATTATTATTATTATTATTATTATTTTTTTTTTTTTTTTTTTTTTTTTTTTTACGAGTCTCGCTTCACCAGGCTGGAGCATGGGATCTCAGCTCACTGCAAGCCCCCTCCTTCACCATTCCTGCTCCCTCCTGAGTACTACTCAGGCGTCCCACCTCGCCGCTATTTTTGTATTTTTAGTAACAGTTTCACCGTGTTAACCAGATGTTCATCCCTGACCCTATCCGCCCATCTCGGCCTCCCAAAGTGCTGGGATTACAGGCTTGAGCCACCGCGCCCGGCCACTATTATTATTTTTTCACAGACATGGTCTTACTCTGTCACCTGAGTGGAGTGCAGTGGTGCAGTCATAGCTCACTGCAGCCTCAAACTCCTGGGATCAAGCGATCCTCTCACCTCAGCCTCTCACGTAGCTGGAACTAGAGGTGCACACCACCACACCTGGCTAATTTTTTTTTTAATTTTTTTAAAGATGGGATCTCGCTGTGTTGCCCAGGCTGGTCTTGAACTCCTGGGCTCAAGCAGTCCTCCTACCTCAGCCTCCGAAGTAGTTGGGATTACAGGTATGAGCTATCACACCACTTTCTTTGTACTATTTTTTGCAACTTTTCTGAAAACCGAAAATTATTCCTCAATAGTTATTTTGAATGTTATGTCTTTAATTAATTTCTTTTTTGTTATTAGAAGAGTTTGCTTTGCATTCAGGATAAAAGAGAGGTGGACCAGTTTGTTAATGTTAAGATTTGTGAAACAGTAGCTAGCTGCTTTCAACTGATAGAATAGAACTCTAATTTGAGGGAGAGAAACTTTGGTTTCCTCATGTTACCTTTTTCTAAGAACTTTGACAATGTATAAAAGTTGGAGATCCTTCTAAGGAAGGCATGTGCTGCTTATTCTAAATGCTTCGAAGTTGACTTAATTCCCACTAATGGACAAATGGTGGTTACTGGAAACATACAAGGTAAGGGGGACAGATTGTCCCAAGCCTCCGAGATCGTGGAAAGAGTAGATCCTGTATCCTAATCCCAGGCACAGTTTGGTTTGGATTTACACATTCGGGCCACAGCTGTCTCCACAAAGATGATAAAATCCTGGAGTGGGAGGGGCTGTCTTCGGGTGTTCTTTAGGTGGGAAGTTCTCGTCTGCACGGTCACGCCGCCTTCCTGAGATCGCTCTCTGAGTGGCTCTCAATCTGTCAGCTCACAGGTGCAGTGCGGTCTTCGGCGCGCTTGAAAGCACGAAGTTGTTCGGCAGCCGGGTTGGCCTCTGCCCAGGAAGCCGCTGGTTCCACGTCTGCCAAGACAGCATGTCTGGTGAGCCCTGTTACCATGGAGAACGCCAAGATCCTGACTCGAGGGTCCATTTTTATACAAAATTGCCACTCCAAGATGTGTTGCTTTATAAAAATATCGAATGTTACTTGTCTGCCAGAGGGGGACTATTTCAGAAGAAAAGGTGGCAGCACTGTAATTGCCTTCAGAGAAAGACACACTTGGCAGGCCGGGGCTGACTTTCCTAGCACCTCCCCACCCATATGTATGTCTAGACCAGGCTCTGATCCTAGCACCTGCACACCCGTGTGTGTGTCTAGACCCAGGCTCTGATGCTAGCACCTCCCCACCCGTGTGTGTGTGTGTCTAGACCCAGGCTCTGATGCTAGCACCTGCCCACCCGTGTGTGTGTCTAGACCTGGGCTGTGATCCTAGCACCTACCCACCCATGTGTGTGTCTAGACCAGGCTCTGATCCTAGCACTGCACACTCGTGTGTGTGTCTAGACCCGGGCTCTGATCCTAGCACCTGCACACCCCTGTGTGTGTCTAGACCCGGGCTCTGATCCTAGCACCTGCCCACCCAGGTATGTGTGTCTAGACCCAGGCTCTGATGCTAGCACCTGCCCACCCGTGTGTGTGTCTAGACCAGGCTCTGATCCTAGCACCTGCCCACCCGTGTGTGTGTCTAGACCAGGCTCTGATCCTAGCACCTGCCCACCCGTGTGTGTGTCTAGACCAGGCTCTGATCCTAGCACTGCCCACCCGTGTGTGTGTCTAGACCCAGCTCTGAGGCCACTTGTGCTCATTGCTCTGTCCTTAGGTGGGCTGTCGAGTCATGCTGGCCCATTGCCGTGCAGCCTCACCCCCAGAGGCTTGAAGAGAAAGGCAGAGTGGGTGGGGAAAGGAATCTCATGCCGTCTGCCGTCCACCCCAGCCCAGCCGTCACTTCCGAGGAGTGAGTTCCTGAACTTCCCGGTGGAGTAGAGCCGCTTCCCGGAGCCCAAGCTGAGGGGCTGGGACTTGGCCATATGCCAGCATGTAGCACAGAGCTTTGCTCATAATGAGGTGCTTGGTAAAATTTTGTCAAAGTCAATTTAACAAATATTTCTTGAGCACCTACTGTGTGCCAAGCCCTAATCGGTGAATAAAGCAAAGACCCCTTCCTTCCCAGAGCTTATGCCCTAGCAGAAGTGAATGAAAGCTGGGCTCTTGTATTGTAATTGTGTAACATATAAATGTGTGCTTCAGAATTCGCCTCAGGAGCTGTAACACCACTAGGGAAACTGAAAGTGTAGGAGTGATGTGGGGTGTGTCTAAATTCAGTCTCCCTTGTATTTTGTCCCTTGGTGGCAGAACAGTGACATGGCGATCTGTGAAAGTTGTGGTCACAGCATCTTCATCATTTCAGATGTGAGAAGAAATACTAGCCTCTGGATTGAATCCTGTTTTATTTGCTAGATGTGTCTGGTTCCCCTTACTTTTTTTTTTTTTCCTTGACAGACTTCCTCATCCCACAAAGCCACAGACAGGCGAACGTCCAAGAAGTTCAAATGTGACAAAGGTCATCTTGTGAAGTCAGAATTACAGAAGCTTGTCCCTAAGAATGACAGTGCTTCTTTGCCAAAAGTGACACCTGAGGCCCCTTGTAAAAATGAGTTTGCTGAAAGCGGTGCCTTGCTTCCAGGCAGCGAGGCTGGCGTTTCCGTGCAGCGGGGGGCTGCAAGTCTTCCCCTCGGTGGCTGCAGAGTTGTGAGTGACTCCCGCTTAGCAAAGGCTAAAGACGGCCTGTCCGTGCCGAAGCACAGTGCTGGGTCAGGAGCAGAAGAATCCAATAGCAGCTCCACTGTGCAGAAGCAGAACGAGCCAGGGCTAGAGACAGAGGACGTGCAGAAGCCGCCACTTCAGATGGACAACAGTATCTTTCTGGATGACGACAGCAATCAGCCAATGCCCGTGAGCCGGTTCTTTGGAAACGTTGAGCTCATGCAGGTAAGGGCAGCGCCTTCCTCCTCCCGTGGGTACTCAGGCAGCCAGCCGCACTTTCAAGTCACACACTCCCCACTCAGTGCAGGTAAATAATGCCTCGACACAACATTAAACATAAATTAATCATTTTAACCCACGAGGAGAAAATGAAAACATTGGCTAATTGGGGGCCCTCCCTCCATCTCCCGAGCTGAGAATCACTGCCATTGGGAAAGGCGGCGGTGGGAGGGGGCCTCCCGCAGCCACGGTGTGTTTCCATGAAATCAGGTTTGTGGTTTTTTTGAACATCCACCCCACACTTGCTGTTGCTTTCTTTTGTTTTGAACCCAGCATCTTTCCTTCTTTTTACCCGATCAGCCCAGTAGGGAGGAAGCTCTCATCTAGAGGTGAATGCTGGGACTCAGGCGTTTTCACGCGTCTGAAAGGGAAGAGCGCTTTGCGAGCCCCAGAGCTGCTGGATGGGGCACGCTGCAGATGCGGGTGCAGATGTGTGTTGCTCATGACTGAAGCCATGTTTTCTTCTCTAAGGACCTCCCACCTGCGTCTTCATCGTGTCCTTCAATGAGCAGACGAGAGTTCAGAAAAATGCATTTCAGAGCCAAAGATGATGATGATGATGATGATGATGATGATGCAGAAATGTAGAGAACATACAAAATGATGTCCTTGCCCTATTTCATACCATTAACAATTTGACAGTTTAGCACATTACAAGATTTATATAAAATGTATCTCCAAGAGAATGTCTTAATCAGACTTCAGAACTGACCCATCAAAGTCAATAGTGCAAAGCACTGAATACCTGTGGAGGATACACTCATGGGAACTCAAACTCAGACAGTCTTTGAGGTTGCAAAGCTGCTGTACTGTACCAATGTCCTTTCTTTTTTTTTTTTTTTTTTTTTTTCTTGAAGACAGAGTTTCTTTCTTGTCGCCCAGGCTGGAATGCAATGGCGCCATCTCGGCTCACTGCAACCTCCACCTCCCGGGTTCAAGTGATTCTCTTGCCTCAGCCTCCTGAGTAGCTGAGATTACAGGCGTGCGCCACCATGCCCAGCTAGTTTTTGTATTATTAGTAGACACAGGGGTTTCACCATGTTGGCCAGGCTGGTCTCAAACTGCTGACCTCAGGTGATCCGCCTGCCTCAGCCTCCCAAAGTGCTGGGATGACAGGTGTGAGCCACCATGCCCGGCCAGTGTCCTTGTACACGTACATACATGGTGATGGCTTGAGTCAGCTGCAGGGCAGTGGGCTCAGTGAGAGGGATTTTTGTAAAGACAGCTCTTCACTTCAGCTCAGTAGCTTTGGTCATAGGCAAGTTTGTTTTCCATTATCATAATTTGATCATACTTGTGATGAATTCAATGCTAGTTCTTAAAGAACTCTTATTTCTGTATGCAGAGCTAACGTTTACTTTGGAAATTTTGCAAAATACACGTAAGAAAGAAATAAAATATATTTTGAAAATATTTTGAAAGCAGTCGTATGTTCTAAAACTGGATTCCTGGGAGCTGAGGGGAGGAAGTGCATCCTGCCTCAGTCTCCTGCTCCCAAATGTTCGTAAGGCTGGGTCCATCTCTTTTTTTTTTTGAGACTGAGTCTCTGTTGCCCAGGCTGGAGTGCAGTGGCGCGATCTCGGCTCACTGTAAACTCTGCCTCCCGGGTTCAAGCGATTCTCCGGCCTCAGCCTCTCAAGTAGCTGGGATTACAGGCATGCACCACCATGCCTGGCTAATGTTTCATATTTTTAGTAGAGACGGGGTTTCACCATGTTGGCCAGGCTGGTCTCGAACTCCTCAGGTGATCCGCCTGCCTTGGCCTCCCACAGTGTTGGGATGACAGGCGTGAGCCACTGCGCCTGGCACGGGTCCATCTTTTAGACCCATTCACCACTGAGGCCCTTGGGACAGGGCCTCTTCCCTTCTCTTGAGTGTACTTCCACGCCCACTTGTCTGCCGCAGAAGTGCCAGGCTTTCCTAGTGTGTGTGGTGGAGAAGGCCGGGCTCTCCAGGCCATGGAGAGGTGCGTGTGCAGCTGCCTGACAAGAGCCGCCCTCCCCAGCCCCAGCGGCATCAGGGAGCAGCTCGCAGCGTGTGTTCGCCCAGGGCAGTGGAGAGAAGCCGTCGGGAGCGCTGTCTCCATGGCCTCTTCCTGCAACCACCTGCACGTAGAAGCCGAGTGGACCAACCAGGAGCAAGCTGGGGTCCCTGGGTGATGAAGGACGGGGAGAAGTTGCCTAGGATGCGGGAAGACCGTGTGGGCCTTTTCATGAGGGAGCAAGTCAGTCTTGCTGGTTTGAGCTTTTATACGTTTCTAGTTTAATTACAAGAGCAGCTAGAATTAACGCTGTGAAAATATCCTGCAAAGCACAGGAAGGATTTTCCATAATAGATGAATTGGAAGCAAAATATAGTTGAAGCGCCCTATGAGAAGTGTTTCGGCTCTTTACTGTTCAAACACTGCCCTCCCTGAAGGTGTCATTCTCCACTTCTAATGTGATCCTTTTCTCATGAGCTGTGACCTTCACCTGCTTTGAATAACTTTGTGATTTATTGATCAACAAACTATAATTTGGAAATGTGTCTTGTAAAGTCATTTTATGATAACCAGGGAAATTAATTTACAACTTTTGCCAGGCACAGTGGCTCACACCTGTAATCCCAACACTTTGGGAGGCCAAGGCAGGCAGATCACTTCAGGTCAGGAGTTGGAGAACAGCCTGGCCAACATGGTGAAACTCTGTCTCTACTAAAAATAAAAAAAATTAGCTGGGCATGGTGGTGGGCGCCTGTAATCCTAGCTACCTGGGAGGCTAAGGCAGACACTTGAAGATCACTTGAACCCAGACACTTCAAGGCAGACTACTTGAAGATCACTTGAACCCAGGAGGCGGAGGCAGATCACTTGAAGGCAGGCACTTGAAGATCACTTGAACCCAGGAGGCTAAGGCAGACACTTGAAGATCACTTGAACCCAGGAGGCGGAGGTTGCAGTGAGCTGAGATCGTGCCATTGCACTCCAGCCTGGGCAACAGAGCAAGACTCTGCCTCTAAATAAACAAATAAATAAAGTACAACTCTAGATTGCTGCATGAATAACTATTAATAACAGCACCTATCTTGGTGGTGATGAGAATTTTGCCATCCTCTAAGCAGACTTCAGTGAGGTGCACGGTCCCAAACGATGATACACCTGCAGAGGAGACGCAGCATGCAGAGTGGAAAGTACGTACATTCCTGGGGCTACCCCGTTCACTCACAGTTGTTAACCTGCACTAACAAGCACTCCCAAGTAGAAACTTTCCTAGTCTACATGTGGACTGTAGCCTGCACAGACCTAGGGGGACGGAACAAAGGGGGACAAATGAGGGAATAAAAGACAAGATACAAAAGAGTATAATTGTGCTGATGCACAGCCCCTGGCGCAGGCCGACTGGCTCTGCCTACAGTGCGCTTCCTCGGCAGCAGGAAGGTCATGTCTTGTGGTCGTGTTCGCTGCAGCTTTGCAGTCTGGTGGGAACCTGGCATTGGGCTGGTTGAGGCTGTCTGCAGGACCCTACTGAGCTCTTCCCTTGGAAGCTTCTTACGGATGCCAGGATCTCCCGGCAGGTGACCCTAAGCCCCACAGAACACACAATTCTACACTCTTAGCTCCTAGAATTTTTCTCCCTCTTGTGTGAGAATGGACAGACCACACACTCTTTGTTGCAGAGGTTCAGCCATCTTTTCTAACCTGAGACTCTGGGTGACGTAACTCCTGATAGGTGATAGCTCTTTGTAACAATCACCAGCACCTCGCCCAGCCAAGGGCCCGGAAGCAAGAAAAAAAACAATGACCAAAACACCATGTCACAGCCAGGAGAGCCTTGCACGCGTCACACACAGCTCAACAAGTCTGGGTTTCCGGTGTCTCACCTCCTGCAGAAATGAAGCCTCAAGTCAGAAAGGGTGACGAGGGGCACAGACGAGGCCCAACAGCAGCAGGGTGGCGCAGAAGGCCTGAGGGACACAAAACCTCCGAGGCCTAGTCTTGGGCAGTGGGGCAGCACTGTGGAGCCATGTGGTAGAGGGATAGCAGCCCCGAGTGTCCAGGGCAAGGTGGCACAGCACGCCCGGACTGCGGAGAAGGAAGGACTTCCCTCAAGAATGCGTCTTGCTCCAGGTGCAGGGGCTCACGCCTGTAATCCCAGCACTTCAGGAGGCCGGGGGGGGGTGGACCGCTTGAGCCCAGGAGTTCGAGACCAACCGGGACAACGTAGTGAGACCTTCTCTACAAACATAAACATAAATTAGCTAGGCATGGTGACACACGCCTGGAGTCTCAGTTACTCCGGAGGCTGAGGGAGGAGAATCACTTAAACCCAGAAATTCAAGGCTGCAGTGAGCTGAGATCACACCACTGCACTCCAGCCTGGATGACAGAGCAAGACCCTGTCTCAAAAAACAGACAGCGAAAGAATGTGTCTCTGAAAAAGGCCCACGTCTATGGCTGGAAAACGGAGCAGCTCGTCTCCTGAGGCTGGAGCGATGGAGCTGGAAGGGCCTCACAGCTGTCCAGTCCAGGCTCCTTGCTGCACAGGTGGGATCTGCTGGCTCCAGAGAGTTCTTCAGACCCTGCAAGAGGGATCTGAGAAGAGGAACCAGGTCCCCCAGTTCCCAGGCCTTGACTCTCCCACTGTTTGTCCTTCCCTGATCAGAGCAGATAAACACCACCGTACCATAGATGGGACTTCTAGAAATTTCCCACACAGGACTGGGTCATTCTAAGGTATTGCTTTAGCTCTGTGAAGAAAATGTAATAATGAAGTCAATTTGTAAAAGATCACAGACTCCTTATTTTTATTTTTTTTTATTTTTTTTATTTATTTATTTTTTTTTTTTTTTTTTGAGACGGAGTCTCACTCTGTAGCCCAGGCTGGAGTGCAGTGGCCGGATCTCAGCTCACTGCAAGTTCCGCCTCCCGGGTTCACGCCATTCTCCAGCCTCAGCCTCCCAAGTAGCTGGGACTACAGGCGCCCGCCACCTCGCCCGGCTAGTTTTTTGTATTTCTTAGTAGAGACGGGGTTTCACCGTGTTAGCCAGGATGGTCTCGATCTCCTGACCTCGTGATCCACCCGTCTCGGCCTCCCAAAGTGCTGGGATTACAGGCTTGAGCCACCGTGCCCGGCCAGACTCCTTATTTTTAATCCTTATTTTCAGCATCCTCAATGAGTGCAAACTTTTTAGACATGTCTATTTTTGAAAAATCTTTATTGCTTTTCCTGATTGTACAACAAATGTAAAAATTCAAATATTACAAAATGACTTAATTTTAAAAGTACATTTTAACATGTTATAAATGCCCATTTCAAAAAATTCAAGTACCATAAAATACATGATGTAGAAAATGAGCCCTCTGTAATCCAGCCCTACCCCCATATCCCCCAGGATTACTGCTGTTCAGATCCGCGTGTTTCCTTCCAGATTGTCTCTGGCACCTGCCACCCACATGGCTGACATGAGCTCCATATGATCTGAGATGATAGTAACGCTGATCAACGAGCAGGGTTCAGCTGCCAGTGCACTGAACAGCTTCCAGTTTCTACATAGAAACACTTTCCTCATAAAAGCTTGAAACTGCGACATAGTTTTGCACTATGTAAATGTATCAGGTTGAATCATGAAATTAATGAATGCTGACCATTTTTGGCCTAGAAAACGGCAATTTCATGTGGTTCAACATAATAGCTATGGCCCTACTCATAGGCATTGGGGGGTTTCCTACTTTTTGCCATTATAAACAATTCAGCAGGCCAGGTGCAGTGGCTCATGCCTGTAATCCCAGCACTTTGGGAGGCCAAGGTGGGCAGATCACCTGAGGTCAGGAGTTCAAGAACAGCCCGGCCAACATGGTGAAACCCCGTTTCTACTGAAAGCACAAAAATTAGCTGGCCATGGTGGTGGGTGCCTGTAATGCCAGCTACTTGGGAGGCTGAGGCAGGAGAATCGCTTGAACCCGAGAGGCGGAGGTTGCAGTGAGCCAAGATTGCACCACTGCACTCCAGCCTGGGCTACAGAGTGAGACCCTATCGCAAAAAAAAAAAAAAAATCAGCAGTGAATGTCCTTGTATGTTCTTTATGGAGTACAAACATCTTGCTCCCAAAGCATGACACCCCTCTTTTGGGCATATAGAAGAGTCAAGAAGGATGAAGCTGCCCATTTGCCATGGAAATGGAGACCCAGCAGAGAGCTGATGCATAAACAACTCGTCCCTCAAGCAAGAGTGGCCAACTTCAGCCATCACACCATTTCAGTATGGTGACCACGTTACGTGAGCAAACCCAACACAGGTAAAACCAGAGAACAGAAGAATTCCTCAGCTCAGAGACAAATCTTATCCCTATTGACCAGTATGACCAGGAACTCACAGAAATGCAGCGAGTATCCCAAAGCTGTCCTCTGGAAGTTGGGCTGTCAGAAGGTATAAAAA